AGAAATAATGCCTGAAATGAGTGACAAATAAGCAGTAGCAAAAATTGAAGGTTTTTACAATGCTTGATCTGGCTCTCATGGCCACAAAAATTAGACGATCTCACTTTTGATCTCAGTCTCACTTTATTATTTCTTTTGGTAAAAGTGAGGTTGAGCCCAAAAGTGAGCTTGTCTTAGTTTGATGGCCCCGGACTGGCAGAGCCTGGAGCTCTCAACAATCAAAAAACAGGCCGAGTCCAGGTTTGATTTTGTACTGATTGTCTACATTGATTAAGCATTTGCGAATAATCATTGGAATTATCAAATATGTACCCATGCAAGAACATCCATCAGAATCTAAAGAAAATATTATTCAGCATTTATACTATCATGATACTGAACATTGCTAGTTTTGACTGCAACTTGTCCATTATGGCTGTGGCTTAAAATAGCATTTGTATCATTCAGGAAATTGTGATAACTATGTTTTAAATTGTACAAATAAGGTGCATTGCCAAGTAATTTCTTTAAGTAGACTGAAATTGGGTTAAAAAGTTATTTGATCAATCCTGTCACTCAGTTTAGTCCATTTTTAAGAACCATGTACTTCTTAGTTTTACACATTCAACTGGACCACTGATTTACTTTAGACTGAGTCGTTCAGATGTGCCTTAGTGTCAAACCCTGTAGTGACCCCTGAGATTACAAGTAGATCTCAGAATGCAGATTTTTGTAAGATTTTTTTTTTTGAGAATTTCCATGGGAGGGGGCAAAGGGGGCTCCCATAGTATCTATATTCAGACTTCCAGAGTTATTCTTAAGCACTAATTCTAATATTTCCTTTGAACAATATGTACATATGCCTCTACTTTTAAATAAACTTTGGGAGTCAAAAGAGATATTTAAATGAATAGATTGTTCAAATTTGTTTAAAATTTCAATTCTATGACTGTGAGTCATTTTGAAATAGAGATTAATTTTAGTTGTAAGCCCTATTTGTTGTTCGTTAGGTCAATTGGCAAATAAGTTGAACTTTATCTTTAATATTTTGCAGCAATTGGCAAATAAGTTGAACTTTATCTTTAATATTTTGCAGGAATTCCAACAAAATGGTGAAGAATATAGATGTTGAGATGAAGGACACTTCAAGTCCTAAAAAGAACGCAGAGAAATCTGAAACTAACGGAGTCACTGAAGAGCCCAAAAAAGACCCTGATCTTTTGACCCTAGAGGACATCAGAGAGCATGTACGCCATATAGAAAAGGCCGTTGCTACCAAGGAACCACGGTATATATCTCGTGTCATCCGAGGTCTGGTTTCGATCAGACGTCGCTTGAATCCTGCCGTGCTACGGAAACTTTTGCAAGGTTATTTAAATTCTCAGGTTGCTCTGAAAGAGGAATTATTAGAATTTGTAGTGGATTCAGGACCGGAGCCCAATGGAATTGCTTCTTTTAGGCCAAAGTCCGGAAAAGCAGCAGCATTGCTGCCAGAGGTGGAAACTTATCTCCATTTGCTAGTTGTGATTTACCTCATTGATCTAAAGAAATATCCGGAAGCAGTGAAATGTGCAGAATCCTTAGTCCAAAAGGTCTCCGTTCAAAATCGTCGAACTCTTGACATGCTAGCTGCCAAGTGTTATTTCTACTATTCTAGAGCTTATGAGCTTACTCAACAGTTGGATAAGATTCGAACATTTCTACATGCTCGTCTTAGAACATCCACGCTGCGATCAGATTTTGAGGGTCAAGCTATGCTTCTGAATTTGCTCCTTAGGAATTACCTGAATTTCAACCTCTTTGAGCAAGCAGATAAGCTGGTCTCAAAGTCAACTTTTCCTGAGAGTGCCTCAAATAATGAATGGGCACGCTTCCTGTATTACATGGGCCGAATTAAGTCTGCTCAACTGGAGTACTCAGAGGCACAGAAATATCTGCAACAGGCACTGAGGAAGGCCCCTCAACACAGCGCTGTAGGATTCAAACAAATTGTGCAGAAGCTCTGTATCACTGTTGAGCTGTTAATGGGAGATATTCCTGATCGGCATCTCTTCAGACATCTCTCCATGAGGAAAACGCTGGCTCCCTACTTCCAGCTCACACAGGCTGTGCGAACAGGAAATCTGGCTAAGTTTAATGAAGTTCTTGCTAAATTTGGTGCAAAGTTCCAAGCAGAGGACACATACACACTGATTATAAGACTGCGACACAATGTGATCAAAACAGGCATTCGCATGATCAATCTGTCATATTCTCGCATTTCTCTCACAGACATTGCCCAGAAGCTGATGTTAGACAGCCCTGAAGATGCTGAATATATCGTCGCTAAGGCTATCCGTGACGGTGTGATCGAGGCAAATATCGACCACGAGAAAGGCTACGTTCAGTCGAGAGAAACCAGTGACGTGTACACGACCCGCGAACCAATGGCTGCCTTTCACAGTCGTATCACTTTCTGTCTTGACATTCATAATCACTCTATCAAAGCCATGAGGTTTCCCCCCAAGTCCTACAACAAAGATTTAGAGTCGGCAGAAGAGAGACGTGAACGAGAGCAGCAGGAGTTGGAGAGTGCTAAAGAAATCGCCGATGAGGACTTTGACGGATTTCCATGAATTTGGTGTGTGTAGCTACACAATGTCTTCAATAGATACACATTTCAATTATTGTATTTTCAGTATAACTGTGATTAAAATAAAAACAGATAAAAATTCTAAAATTATTTTAATTTTCAAAGTCTTCTTGAAAATTTCCAATTTTCAGCCAGGGACAGGAACTCTTCAAATTGTTTTTCAATTGAATTGTTTCATTTTAATGAAACTTCAAATTGAAAATTTGTCATGCATGCATTTAAGAATGCCTCTAGGTTCTTTGAAGTCTTAAAAAAGGCCTAATAATGAGTAGACAAATACAATAAACATTTTAGACATTTCAAATTTTCTTTATTAAGGACATACCGTATATACTCGCCTATAAGTCAGTATTTTGAGAGTTAAATATTGGTCTAAAACTCTATGTCCGACCTATAGGCGAGCCATAAGGAGTTTGGTATTTTTCTGGAGGCTAAAAGGTAGTATCTAATTTGCATTTCTGATGATTATCAAAAAAAATGTCTGGATATATAAGATAATTCATGTATTCTTGGATTATATATCTAAAGTACAAGTATTTACATATTTTAATAATTTTATTTGTATTTTAAGTGACATTGCCTTTATGTTTTATAATTTAAGATTAAATACCAGTGTCATTTCGAAAAAATATCAATTGAATCAGGTTAAAACATCAATGAATTTACTTGAAATTGTCACCAGATTATGGCAAAAAATTGTACCGACTTATAAGCGGTTCAATAGCAAATCCCAACAAAATAACGTCAAAAAATACAATTAAACTACTTATAGGCGGACCGACTTATAGGCGAGTATGTACGGTACGCAAAGTACCTTACCTAATGATAATTTTTCAAGATATTCTTGATTTAAGATTATATTGCCATCAGATGTTCATAGACAAATAATCAGCATGCATTACCAGGGGTTTTTGGAAGATATCAGATTATGAAATTTTTTGCATTATTTAAAGAAAAATATGCAATAATTACGAAACAGAAATTCCAGATTTTTTTTCCATCAAAAAATAACTAAGAAGAGGTGTGCAAATCCATATATAGACATTAAAAGTATTACACATAGGTCCTTTATTTTGTGGAACTCTTCAAACTTCAGGGAAGATCCCAAAAAAAACTTCAGTCTACGTTGCGTATGACCTTAAATATTGTTTAGATTCTATGCATTTTTTGGTTTTGATCAAGGGCAACATATATTTTCTTTTATTGAACTTTGTTTACTTTCTACACATTTTATGGTTTCATTGATGAATCGTCAGGGACATAATGCAAACAGGTTCTTGTCAAAAATAACTCGAAAGAGTTCCTTTTTCTGTCACGATTAGTTACCTCTCTTCGATCCTGACTAACTGGAGACGGCATGCATTTTGTCGATGCATGACGCTGGAGGCAAAAAAATTAACTAAATTACTAGTAATTTATTTGCCCAAGACCACTGTCTATAAATGACTCGACTAGCCCTTGTTTTCCAGCTTCTCACAATGGAACTATGTGAATAAAAGTGCTCACATAAACTGTTATCAACTCATTAATAATTAGAGAAAGTCATGCTTAATGTCATATGATTTCTATGTTTTTTATGTCATCGAGCTGATGGCATTATTTATTGAACGTCCCCGTATATTTCTCAATTTTCAAAATTCACGTAAAAGTTGTATACTATTTTACTAAAATTATGTCCTCCGTAATGTCATCTTCAAAGCATTTATTTTATTTTACTGAACGACTCATTGTCTGATTATATTTTTTTCAAGGTTGACAGTTAAGGATATTTAGTGGAGAATGGGTTAACTAGAGCCATAGAAAATCAATTTTTGTTAGGGGAAAGATGAAGATTGAACGGTTGAATTCATTTCACTTGTCATACAGTTTCGTTTTTAGTTGGTTTTTATCGATATTTTTTTAAAATCAAATACACAAATTTCTTTTGACTTACATTTTGCCGTTTTTTCCCGAACATAATAAGGAGTACACGACGGATGTGACTAGTATACAAAGGATGCTCACTCCTCCATGGCACATGATCCCACATGGTTCGATCTTGTTTTGTATTGTTTTATGGACTTTTGAGCTTGAATAATGTTCGTTATCCCCACACATTTCATCTGGAAGTTCAGTCTTTATAAAAACCATCGAAATAACAAAATACTGACATTATTTTAATTAAAACCAATGAATCCAATTAAAATTAGATGTTAGATCCGCTCGCGTACTCGCTACACTGACATGGAATTAAAACGAGGTTATTCAAAATCTCTGTATCAGCACTGCATTGGTTCAAAAATTGAGTATACTCTGAGCATGGTTTTGAGTACCGAAATAGATGGTCTACATAAACACCGTTTGCAGGTGTGTGGCAACGCATGCGCACTTTGAAAAAATTGCGCACTGTAAAATTTTCAAAGTGCGTTAAAATTGGGACAAAATCAACGCACTTTGAATTTTTTCAAAGTGCATTAAATTTGGGACACACTCAACGCACTTTAAAAATTATATATTTAAAACAAAGATTCTGGTCTTAGATTTTAGTAATCAAGAGAATTAGTTTGTTACAATTATAACTTTCGAAAAACGTTTTAATTAATTAACATGTACATGTATTGATTTACCCTCATTGAGAACAAGGAGAAGACGAGTAGAAGGTCTCTCAGCCCAACTCTATTTTTTCTATACATAAGCGTCGACCGGGTAGCAATTAAATTGAAAGTGGGCCGGGGGGGGGGGGGGGGCCTAACCCCCCCACCCCCCCTCAAAGGAACAACCCAATTTTTATGTATATCTTTTCAAAAAAGTGGGGTGTCTAAGCCCCGTAGACCCCGGCCCCGATGGCTATGCAACATCCAAATATATGTATTGCCATAACTGGTACATGTATGACGTTGAAAACTTTCAATATATTTTAGCTTACATAAAATGCATGAAAACTAGAAAGTTTTAAGTACAGTAAAACATAAGAGAGAAAGAATTTTTAAAGTACTTATAGTCCCCTACTTTATCGAACTTATAACAGACCAGAAAAAAGGTTAAAAAAAAAAACGAAATTATGCTTTTAAACGATAATTTCTCTGAAATCTTCAGAAAAACCCATATTCTTTTTTTAACATTGAAGAGAACTTATTTGAAACGTCTTTATTTCACATCCTGAAGTGACCTTATCACCGAAGAGTTATCCAACAGGTTCAATTATTTATTATATCTAAAATTTGCAAGAATATTGACCAAGCAATGACCTTTTTATGCCCCCGTAAACGAAGTTTCGGGGTATATAGTTTTTATCGTGTCCGTCCGTCCGTCTGTCTAGCTGTCTAGCTGTCTCTCTGTCTGTTTGTCCGCAAAAACTTTAACCTTGCCCATAACTTTTGATTTAGTGGAGGTATGACTTTCATATTTCACATGTGTATTTCTTGTGACAAGACCTTTCTTTGGATACCACCATATTTGACCTTTTGACCTTGAACTTGGAGTTTGACCCACTTTTACACAAAAATTCCAAACTTTTACTTTGGCCATATCTTTTGAACAGTAGATACCAGGACATTTATACTTCATATATGTATTTCTTGTTGAAATACCTTTCATTGGATACCAACAACATTGACCTTTTGACCTTGACCTTGGAGATTTACATACTTGTGAAAAAACTTTAACCTTGACCATGACTTTTGAACGCTAAGAATTAGTGATCTCATACTTCACTTATATAATCCTTGTGAGAAGACCGTTCATTGGGTACCAATTACCTTGAGCTTTTGACCTTGACCTTGGAGATTTTTGTGTTTATGAAAAAACTTTAATCTGGATCATAACTTTTGAACGCCAAGGGCTAGTGATCTCATACTTCACTTATGTAATTCTTGTGAGAAGACACTTCATTGGATACCAAGAACTTTTACCCTTTGACCTTGAACTTGGAGTTTGACCTACTTTTAAAAAGCAGACCTTGACCATTACTTTTAAAGGGATAGGTCTAGGGCTTTCACACTTTACATATTGAATCCTTGTGACAAGACCTTTCATTTGATAGCAAGAACTTTGACCTTGACCTTGGAGTTTGACCTACTTTTTAAATTTTTTAACCTTGGCCCTGCCCTCTCTGTCTCTCTCCAAAATACCGGGGGTAGGATTTTCGAGTTTGGACAATATTCTTTCCCTATTTTTTGATTGTCAAGTTTTCTCAGGTAAGATGAATTTTTTTACCCCCCCCCCCCCCCCTTTCATGACCGTTGTTATGTCACTGTCAAAGACATTCATCACATATATGTACGTTGTATTATGACCACCACCCCATCCATTCTTAATTTTGAAATGTCATATTAATACATTGTATGAATATAGAAACAAATACCCCCTCTTTCATATGCTTTCATATGGTCTATAGATACAGATACAGTACAACTTATGATCATCCTAACATGACTTTTTGCGATATACATATTCGTCTTTTATCAAAACTTCCATCATAGATCAACAGCAATAAACTTGTCTTCGGAAAATACGGAGGGGCAAGCCCTTCACTCCCTCCTCTCGATCTGATAGCCTACTACGTGCTATTATGAGACAATGAAACTATTGAAATGTTCTAATTTTTTAATTAACCGGTTGTGAGAACATATAAATTAAAAAAAAAAACAACTTGTCATTCAAATATCTAAACTATTGAGAGTTTTAATATTCAAGAATAAAATTTTGGCTTTAAATTAGTGATTTCCCTGATTGAATACTTTTTTCGTGTCCTACGAAATTCATTTTATTTTGAATTAGCTTATTTATCAAAAAATAAAGTAAACTTTTATAAAATTTCATACCATAATCATCATCAAGGTAGATCACTGAGGGGTTATGATTTTTAAACTGTAATTTTTCTTAACTACAATTGGTTTGTTTCAATGCGATTTACAAGTGGGAAAAAATATTTTATAATATCAAAAAATGCTAACATTAAAATATACTGAGGTCACTTGGACATGTAAATGGATTTCCTTTTTATTGTTATTTAATTTCTTTCCTGTAAAATGTCTCCAAAGTTATATATTTATATCGATAAATGTTTAAGAAACAAGTGTTCATGGTAAGTTAGGATGTCCTAACTT